ATTTTTATATTTTTGCTATTTTCATTTTTTTGCTATTTTTATTTTAAAAAAAATTTTTTTTTTCAGAATGTTATGAAACAGGGTCATTTTGGAAACCAGGTCAATATTAAGATTGCAATATCTTGACAACCGCTTAACATTTTTAGCTGGAATTTTGCATGCAATATTTTTTTATAATTAGGAATAATATGTCAAAATATAACACAAAAAGAAGACACATGGTTTAATGGACTGGGTGATTTGATGTGAATTACCCTAATACAATTTAATACTTTTGGAGGAACACCTTTTTGAGGTATTGTAACATATATTTAGGAGACGCACCTGACAAATTTTCAAAATCTTTTAATTATGTCCAAGAAAGATACTGCAGTTACTTTTTTGAGGTATTGTAACATATATTTAGGAGACGCACCTGACAAATTTTCAAAATCTTTTAATTATGTCCAAGAAAGATACTGCAGTTACTCTTATTAAATCTAATAGTTTTAAAACAATTTCCATCAAACATATGCTGTACTTTTAAAAAACAAAACTCAGCATTTTCTTGATAATTTTTTAACATGTTTGCTGTTGAAGTCCACAACACAGTGAAACAGTTGGGTGTCACATAATCTATTGTATATTATATTCCATATAATTAGGACATGAAGGTTTTGTAACTGACAATGAGAGATAAGAGAATTTGAATCTTTTTAATTTTTTTCAATGAAATCATCTTCAAGAGACTTCAAGAAACAGAAAAAAAAATCTCTAACCTTCAAAATGTTTCTATGAAACCTTATACTTGATAAGCACAAAACTTTTCAGCCAGTCTTTGTAAAATATTCCCATTTTGTAGACATTAATGAGAATCATTTCCAGCAAACAGATTTGAAATGATTGTATGATAATGAGTTGAATGCGTAAAAATGCTGGCCATAGTCCAGATGCTGTCCACAGTTCCAAAAGCTTTCGGAACAGATGATTAACAATCCACAATAATAAATAAAATTCCATTGGTCTAATAATATCCAGATAAAGTCTTGATTTTTCCATGTTGATCATAGGGGGATAAATGGTGTTGTCAAACTCTTTGGCGAGGTTGAATTTGGAGCCAGCAGCAACAAAAGCTCTGTAGCTTTTGTTGCTGCTCAAGAGACTCCACTCATATTTTTAAATTATTTTACATATTACTAATTAATTCTTCTGTAACATTATTACTAATTAATTCTTCAACTTTTTCCTATGATTTAACTTTTCACTTTTTGTTGTTGATTGGATGTAGTTGGTTTAGTTTGAGCCTACTAATTTGACAAATGACAAATCTATTTGCTGTTCTTGTTTAGGTTTTATAACAATGGTGTCAAAGTTGTACAGATATGGTAGTTAGTAAGTGACCGGGATCCCGACCTCAGCTAAATATTAGACTTTTTGCAAACCTGGCCCCAGCTTCCATATTTTACATGAATTAGGAAACCAAGAAGGGAGCGAAATCTAAAGTACTGATGATCGAGGAAAAAAACCTATGCAAATATAAATTTTTTGAGCACTTAGGAACAGTCACAGTAAAAGGATGAGATATAATTGAATGACAAGTAACACGAGAATGAATTTAGTAGATGGTACAAGAAACGCTTGCTCTTTACATTATAGTATTAGTAGAAAAGAGAAAGAGAAGCAACATCATGATGTGACAATTAGTAAAATTATAAGATTTAGCATTTGATAGCCAGAGCTAGAAAAAAATTTATAATATTTATATATTACAAATTTATGCATAATATTATAATATATATATATATTATATTATTTACTATTACTTATAATATTTATATTTTATAAATTTATGCATAATAGTATATAATATTATATATTATAAATTTATGCATGTGTTTATCATTTATTAAATAGTGGGGTATTTCATTTTCAACAACCAACATGTGTTTCTCATTTATTAAATCAACATGTGTTTCTCATTTATTAAATCAAGCAAGAATGAGTTTTAGTTAATGGAACTAGAGATAATAGCTAGTTTAAGCAGTGATCATAATAGTATTTGTAGAAAAAAGAAAGAGATGGCTTGGCAGATAAAGCAAGTTTAACTACATTAACAATGTGCTTTTGGACTTTGCCTGAAAATGAGAGGTTTGTTATTTATCAACACAGTAATGTTAACAATATTGCAACAGTTGTTAGCAGTAAATGAGTTTTTTTATAGTAATAAATCCACAAGCCACTTCAAGCCCTATTTGATCATTTTAATCTGTTTTCTCTTCTGTAACAGCAGCAAACTGTTACAGAAGAGAAATCGGATTAAAAAGTGGCTGCTTGTTCTAAGCCATGAAAAAGTGAAGACTTTTTGTCAAGAAAAGAGTATAAAATTGAGTTGTCAGCAAATGGAGCCACTTTAGATTTTCATGAAGATCGCTATTGTAGATAAGAAACAATACAGGAGCAAAAATAGAACCTTGCGGTACCCTTAAAGTTACTGAAAATGAAGAAGAGTGTAGGCAATCGTGAATAAATTTAATACTGCAGCTAGAAAGAAATAATTGAATAAACTCAAAACCTTCATATAAAGAAACTATTAATACAGAGAAGACTAATTTTAGGATAGTTTGAGAAATCAGATTGTTTTCTAGATTTTTAAAAATTGGAACAACATATTTAGCATAATTATATGCTAAATAAATAGTTAATACTTTTGACTATAAAAGAAATCTTGTCTGAACCACAAGCTGCACAGTGGGCCAGAATTCACTTTAACAGGACAAAACTAATAACTCGTCATATAAAAATAATCAATGGACCATTTTTGCACTGTTTACTAATTTAATGATTGCAGTTTCAGTGGTGACATTACCTTTAATTTTAGGTTGCTATGGATACCTGAATTGCTTAACAATCATATATTTCAATAGCCATAATACATTTAAACTGGACAAAAGTATTAACTTTATTGGATTACTTCCATAAAAACCACATTATTTTGATACTACAAATGTAATTGTACTACGGATTTTTTTTTTTGGTTGATAGTGACACCTGAAATGCCTGGCAACAGTTCGATTTGCATAGTTACAAGCTTAAGTGACTTAAAACATCAAAGTTATAAACTAGAAAAATATTAATGTGACAGTATGATTGAAAATTTTATGCATGTAAAAGTTTAAACGCATGCCCAATTACTAATTTTAGGTGTTTTTATGCAGTTCCAGAGATTTTATATTTCATGAAACTACTACATAATCCATAAAAAAAAATAAAAAAAAACTTTATGCTATTTATAACTGCATCCAAAATATTAGAATAAGCTAACTTCAAGTTTTCTTGTATTATATATGAATAAATATCTTGTTTTTCATGTTTTAACAATATAAAAGTATGAGTTACATTTATTCTGAATTTTGAAGATTTTTTGTCAAGACAGAAGTATATAGTTGAGTCGTCAGCAAATAGAACTTTAGATGTTAATTATTAATAAAGATCATTATTGTAGATAAGTAACAATACAGAGCAAAGATAGAACCTTATGGTACCCTTAAAGTTACTTGAAATGAAGAAGAGTGTAGATCTTCAAGAATAACTTTAATACTGCAGTTAGAAAAAATTATTTAATAATCTGAAAAACTTTTATAAAAATAAAGGAATTAATAACAGAGTGAAGACTAATCATAAGATAATTAGAGAGGTCGAAGTGTTTTTGAGAGTTTTTAAATATTGGAAAAAATATATAGCATTTTTTAATAGTTTAGCAAAAATTGAAGAAATTTTTGGAAAAGATTTTTTTAAGACTATGATGGAACTTTAGTCTGAAGTACAAACTGTGGAGGTGTTTATTTGAGAACTAACTTTAGCATTGGAAGCCAGAGTGATTTGGATGTTTAACAATAGGTTAATCTGTTTAACTGATATGACAGGAACATGGTGATTAGATGGCCATTAGATTCAAGAGTCAAGTTAGACGAAAAAAATCTCCAAATAACTCTGCCCTATTCTTGGGAAAAGTAAAAAGATCAAACCCATGAAAAGATGTGCATTTATGCATACATAATATGAATATAAACATATATGTTTGCTATTTATTTAGATGCTGGCATACAATATACTTACATATTTATATAAACTTAAGTATTTATATGGTTCAGTACCAAAAGAGAAGACTATGATCAGATGGATCTGAGGTATTAACAAGACAAGAAAAGAAGAGATTTTAAAAAATGTTGTATCAAACAAAATTTTTTGGAAAAGATTAAAGTAACTTGGGTATCAGCATGTAGAAAGTTGCAGCTTCAGGAGAAAACAAAAGTGAAAAAAAAAACTTAAAGAAGTAACTTGGAGGAGTGCATTACATATTGTATGAGTTTTAGTTAAAGAAAAAAGTAGATTTATATTAGAGCATAAAAGGGGAAGGCTAAACCTTGACAAGGATGATGATTATAATGATAACTAACCCCTAACCTCAACCAATTTAGTATGATTGTGCAGGAAAATTCTATTTAAAGAAAACAATAATGTCAATAATTGCATTTTTAGTTCAAAAATTGAACTTTGACATTAGTGACTATTTTTACTAATATTTCAAATTGTGATACTTTCTAGGATGTAGTTAAAAGATTTTTTGTCAGGTAGGTCTCTAAAATGTATACTATATCTTATACTTATATCAGGTAACTTTTCTAGAAGAATATTACAATATATATCTTACAAAAGTATTCAATTACAATATATATCTTTACAAAAGTATCAACTTACAATTTTTATAGGGTATGAAATGTATTTTAATGTATCATACAAAAAAACTTTTAATGTATCATACAAAAATTTTTTTAATGTATCATACAAAAAATGTTTAAAAAAAGTTTTTTCATTTTTAATTGTTAATTTTATTTAATTTTTAAATTAATAAATAATTATTTTCTAAATTAAATTTAAAGACTAAAACTAAAATTTTTTTAATTCGAAACTTTTATACTAAAAGTAAATATACTAAAAATCTGATGTAAAACAAGGAGAACCTTTTCTACGAGATTTTTTCTATCTGCAGATTTTCCAACATGACAAACCATGCCCCTAACATCAAAACCTTTTTCTTTCAGTGCTAATACAGATTTTTCAACATTCTCTTTTTTTCGGCTGCTTATCAAAACCTTTGCACCATTTTCAGCAAAACACTCAGCAATGGAGTAACCAATACTATGTAATAATAACTAAGACTGTAAAACAAAAAAAACAACAAAAAAATAAAACTTGAAATTAAAAATAAAGACTAGTAAAATAAAATTAAAAAAAAAACAACAACAATTTTATTTATATATATATAAAACAACAAATCATGTTTTTAAAAACAGTGTAACCCATTTGTGGATGCTGTTACTATAGCAACTTTTCCTTCAAGTCTTAATCGTTTTGGTTCTGTTACAATATATCTAACAAAGGTCTTTGTAGGATTTCTCAACATTGTATCTGTTTTTTTTTTCAACATAAAATAATAATACAAATTACAGAAAAATGTGTAAAAAAAAGTTTACTTAATTTTATCTTTAATATAACAATAATAATAAAATATTATGAACCTAAGCTACCCCAATTATACATAAAAATATATAATATTTATATATAATATATATATATATATATGTATATATATATATATATATATATATATATATATATATATATATATATATATATATATATATATATATATATATATATATATATATATACATACATATATATATATATATATATATATATATATATATTTTTTTTTATGCTACGCATAAAATTTTATTTATGAAATCTGAATTTGCCATTTGCATTTAATTGATTGATTTGATTGATAGCAAAATGAACATTTAAAAAATGCATAGAATTTGTCAAATTTAAACAAAAAAATATTAGAAATACTTTATCAAAACAACTTTTTCTAGCATTTACTTTTAAAGGGGTATACATTCATACACTCATAGGAGTATTCAATATCAGGTAAACTCATGTTTCAAACGTGGACAGGCCCTAATAAATTATGCCTCAAGCACAAAACTAACCCACAACTAGAAGACAGTTTTTTTTTTGTTTTTTTTACCTACAATTTTTATAATATTTACTTTCTTAATTATATATATTTATACAAAAAACGTAACAAAAAATATTAGTTTTTAATTCACCAAATTAAAAAAATATTTTCTTGTCTAAAATCAAATTGTAAAAGTAAAAAAATTTTGCATAAAAAACAGCATACAAAATATAAACAATATATATAGAAAAAAAAAAAAAAAAAAAAGTATGTAAAAACCAATTTAAAATTATAAAAGATATATAAATAAACAAAAACATTTTTTTTTTTTTTAAATGTAAAAAAATTCTTTTGAATAAATGTTATAATAAAGATAATTCTTCACATGTTTGGTCTAAAACACGAAAAGCTATTTGAAATTCACATAACGCGTATGAATGACAACCAGATGACAAAAAGTCTGCCATTAAATCAGATATAAACAAAAGCTCAACATACAATTTACCTATATCATTAGGTGTCATTTTAAGAAATATTAAAGCAAGTAATGGCAGCAAATCATCAGCACCAACTGCAACATTGGATCGATCTATGATTCTATCTCGCATTCTTAATTCTTCAACTTTATTAGCGATGATTTGCAGAGCTTTTGTCAAACACTGCATTTTTTTAAGTGGGCTAAAGTGAGAAAATGTATTTTTTATTGAATTAACTGCTGCATCAAAATGCTTCTCAAAGGTATCAACTTCATCAGTTTTGTTATGACAATTACTTTGGGCTTTAATACATTTTGTTGAAATCACTGGGCTGTAAGATAATGGAGATTCATTTAAACTAACAAAATTATTGTTTTTTTCTGCTACTTCATTTTTTAAAAGTAAACATCCTGATTTAATCAAATCTGAACTTGAATCATCAAGATCTAAAAATTGTCCGTTTTTCATAGATCGAAGTAAGACTGCTTTTTTTGATTTCTTTAGGTGGCGTTTAATTTTATGAACTGAATCCTGTTTCAAATAGAGCTCACTGTCGCTAGAGTGGTATTCTTCTTCATCACAATCTGAAAAACTTATTATGTAAGAATTACTATCACTCGATGAATCTTCTGTGACAGACGATTCTGTATCAGATTCCAATAATGAAAGCCACCATTCATTATTAATCTGCAATCCTAACTTGTTGCACTTGTTTTCCACTTGTTTTAACATAATTACTCTCTTTTTAATAGACTGGATATCTTGAGCATATGCTACATAATAGAGATGCATAAGATATCTCCCAATACGATCATAAAAACATCTTTCATAACAAAGACGCACTTTTCGCATAAACATAAGATGAGTGTCAGTAAAATAGCTTGAAAGCATTTCTGTAACATTATAGAGATGAATCATAATTAGATTTTTTTGATCATCAAGGTAATATTTATTAAAGTCAGCTTCATTTTCTCCTACAACTACGTAATCTTCATAAGCTAGCAATAAAGATGACTTAGAAGAATGACTTGCTTTTAAAACAGTTTTACATTTTGATTCAAAATTTTGATAGAAACTTTTAAAAACATTACCGATAGGATGACTGGTATCATAAACCATTGAAGCTATCTGTTGTGTCAATGTTTGCCATTCAGGTAAAGATTTCAAACCATCCATTACTTAATAATAAAAAAAAAAATGTTTCAGCTAATAAAACATCCTTTTTTTTTGGCTAAATAAAATATATTTCAATAATTGAAATAGTAATAAAGGTTCGAAAGCATCTTAGGAGTTTTAAGAAAAAAAAACGAAATACAAAAAAAAAGAAAAAAAAAAAGAAAAAACATGAAAAAACAAAATACATAAAATACAAAGAAAAAACATGACTTTAAGAACACTTAAATCCATCATTTTAAAAACCAGTGTCTAAAACACTTGGTTACAAAAATGAAGAATCAAAAGAAGTCAAAAGGATTTCATAAAAAACATTGAAAAAGACTGCCAGACTTAACCAAACAGTGATTCAAACACGTCTGTAAACAAGTCTTATTATGTTTACTAAGTGCCTAAAAAAGGTGGTAAATGAAACACTTTTTTTATTTTTTAGAAATCAAAAAGTAAACTTGACATAAACGTTTTAAAAAGTGAATTTGACATAAACATTTAAAAATTGAATTTGACTTAAAAATATAAAAGTCTTGTAATCACAATAATAAAGTTTTCAATGCTTTATGACTTTTAATAAATCTATTGAAGTAAAAAGGGGCAATCATTGGGTACACTTAACTACATCACAACCAAAAAATGAACAAAGCACTAACTAGAACACTGCCCATGTAAAGTATTCTCAATTGGAGACTGATACTGATAATGATATATTGAAGCTAATGATAGAATCATTTTTTCTGTCTACATTTTTGTCTTGGAGGCTTTCTAAAAAAATTATCAGTTTACATCATATACTTTTCAAGAGATAGTGTCTAGTTTTGCTTCAATTTAGACAGGGAAAAGTTTTAGAGAAAAGTTCCTGCTTTGCATTAAGAAGTTTCATACTACAAGGTAGCAGAGTGTGTAGCAGAATTACCGTCAACCAATTTTTAAAATGAATAACTAACCATCTGTGATGCGTTTTCCATCAACTGTGAACTCTTCTCCACAAGACTGAAGTCCTTTTTCTAAATCACTTATCACAGTTTGTATGCATTCTCTAACACTCAGAGCACGTACCTTAATGAAAATATTATCATCAGTCAAAATAACATCAGTCAAAATAACATCAGTCAAAATAACATCAGTCAACATAACATCAGTCAAAATATTAAAAAAATAAAACTGAACAAAATCAAAAGAGTTAACAAAACTTAAAAGCAAACAACAATTATAATAAACAAAAAACAACAGTAAAAATTAATAAACAAAACTACTTTTACTACCCAAATAAAATTGCTCATTAGGATTCTCCCTTACAACGTTAAATAATTTTTAAAGAATTTATAATAGTTTTGCAATTATTTTATTGTGAGAAATCTTTTTATTTTTTTATTTTTCTAAAAAGTTAAACAAAAAACTAATTTATTATGTAAAATCTCCCCCTCCTCCCCTCCTTTGTTTATTAAGGTTGAAAATATTTCAGACCCTCTTGTTAATAAGAACCCACTCCTCATATATTTAGCAGGTGAAAGTAAACAAAGTGAAAAAGCAAAATGTAGAACCAAATATAAACAAAAAGAAAAATTTTCAAATTTAGAAACCAAAAAAAATACAGTAAATAAAATAAATAAAGTTTAAATCAAAACAAAAATAACCAAGTGAAAATGATAGAAAAAAAAAAAAAAGCAACAAAAATTGAAAAAAACAAACAAAAAGATTTTATGTATTTCATGTATTAAAAAGAGTTCATTTATTTATTGTTAACAAAATTTAAAAGAGATATTTAAAAATAATTTTAACAAATGACACATATTTACATTTAAAATAACAATGTTTAATTTAAATCTTGAAATCTAAGAAATCTAAGAAGTCTAAGAAATCTAAGAAATTTAAGAAATCTAAGAAATCTAAGAAATCTAAGAAATCTAAGAAATCTAAGAAATTTAAGAAATCTAAGAAATCTAAGAAATTTAAGAAATCTAAGAAATCTAAGAAATCTAAGAAATCTAAGAAATCTAAGAAATTTAAGAAATCTAAGAAATCTAAGAAATCTAAGAAATTTAAGAAATCTAAGAAATCTAAGAAATTTAAGAAATCTAAGAAATCTAAGAAATCTAAGAAATCTAAGAAATTTAAGAAATCTAAGAAATCTAAGAAATTTAAGAAATCTAAGAAATCTAAGAAATCTAAGAAATTTAAGAAATCTAAGAAATCTAAGAAATTTAAGAAATCTAAGAAATCTAAGAAATCTAAGAAATCTAAGAAATCTAAGAAATTTAAGAAATCTAAGAAATCTAAGAAATCTAAGAAATCTAAGAAATCTAAGAAATTTAAGAAATCTAAGAAATTTAAGGAATCTAAGAAATCTAAGAAATCTAAGAAATCTAAGAAATTTAAGAAATCTAAGAAATTTAAGAAATCTAAGAAATCTAAGAAATCTAAAAAATTTAAGAAATCTAAGAAATTTAAGAAATTTAAGAAATCTAAGAAATTTAAGAAATCTAAGAAATCTAAGAAATTTAAGAAATCTAAGAAAATTAAGGAATCTAAGAAATCTAAGAAATCTAAGAAATCTAAGAAATTTAAGAAATCTAAAAAATTTAAGAAATCTAAGAAATCTAAGAAATCTAAAAAATTTAAGAAATCTAAGAAATTTAAGAAATCTAAGAAATCTAAGAAATCTAAGAAATTTAAGAAATCTAAGAAATCTAAGAAATCTAAGAAATTTAAGAAATCTAAGAAATCTAAGAAATTTAAGAAATCTAAGAAATCTAAGAAATCTAAGAAATCTAAGAAATTTAAGAAATCTAAGAAATTTAAGAAATTTAAGAAATCTAAGAAATCTAAGAAATCTAAAAAATCTAAGAAATCTAAGAAATCTAAGAAATTTAAGAAATCTAAGAAATCTAAGAAATCTAAGAAATCTAAGAAATTTAAGAAATCTAAGAAATCTAAGAAATCTAAGAAATTTAAGAAATTTAAGAAATCTAAGAAATTTAAGAAATCTAAGAAATCTAAGAAATCTAAGAAATCTAAGAAATCTAAGAAATTTAAGAAATCTAAGAAATCTAAGAAATCTAAGAAATCTAAGAAATTTAAAAAATCTAAGAAATCTAAGAAATCTAAGAAATTTAAGAAATCTAAGAAATCTAAGAAATTTAAGAAATCTAAGAAATCTAAGAAATTTAAGAAATCTAAGAAATCTAAGAAATTTAAGAAATCTAAGAAATTTAAGAAATCTAAGAAATCTAAGAAATCTAAGAAATTTAAGAAATCTAAGAAATCTAAGAAATTTAAGAAATCTAAGAAATTTAAGAAATCTAAGAAATCTAAGAAATCTAAGAAATCTAAGAAATTTAAGAAATCTAAGAAATCTAAGAAATTTAAGAAATCTAAGAAATTTAAGAAATCTAAGAAATCTAAGAAATCTAAGAAATCTAAGAAATCTAAGAAATTTAAGAAATCTAAGAAATCTAAGAAATCTAAGAAATCTAAGAAATCTAAGAAATTTAAGAAATCTAAGAAATCTAAGAAATTTAAGAAATCTAAGAAATCTAAGAAATTTAAGAAATCTAAGAAATCTAAGAAATCTAAGAAATTTAAGAAATCTAAGAAATCTAAGAAATTTAAGAAAATTTAAGAAATTAGACTATGAATTGAATAGAAAGAAGTTTATATGGTATATATGCTACTGTTGCCTGCAGTACCAGGAATTAGCTAAATGCTAATGTTTATAATATAATATTGTTACTCAGAGTTTTATGTTACCACAATGTTTAGGCAAGTAAAAAAATTAGTTCGCTACAATTTGTTTAGTAGACGTTGTGTTTTATATTTGTATTTTAGGTTGTGGGACGGAAATAATTTAGTAGTTAGGTTAACGCTATTATTAATTTGTTTTTAATTATATTACAAGTTATATTATAATTTATCATAATAGCTGTATATGTGAATCATTTATTAGTTAGCCTAGAAATGTATAAAGTAGAGTAAGGCATTATTGTTAGTTACTGTTGGTTGTTAGTTAGGCTTGTAGTGAGTTTTGTAATTTATTTTCATGGCAGCACTTCAGTTCTTTTATTTAGTAGTTCCTCAGGTTTTATATTTCAGGTTTTAGGTTTGCAAATTTCTCATATAGACATAGTGGGGACCTTTTGGAACTATTTGAGTAGAAGGATGCAGACTTCAGAATAGACCATGTGAATATAGGGGTTTCTTTAAAATTGTTTTTCAAATCCTAGACATTGTTTGATAGGGCGATGGACTTTTTGTATTTACTGAATGATGAGGATGGTGGATTTTTTTTATTACTGAATGATGGTTTGTAATTGTTATATCTGGTTTTTTATTCACCTTCCATTAATCCAACATAAACTTTGTTGGGTTAATTTTTAGCTGTGATAATACACTTGTATATAATGTTTGTGAGTTTGCACTTTCTATTCAGTGAGCATTTCGCTTTATTTTGACAATTGAATTTTGGGTCACTTTTTTCAATTCTTGGGAAGATAAATTTGTTGTGGTTTTTAATAATTTTTTCAATATTTTCAGTACAGTTGTAGCTTATCTTTACAGTGTTTCTTTTTTTGATTTTGTGAAGCTTGTAATTTTGTGAAATTTTTGTTAAATGAGGGTTGAACCATATGGTATTGTGTTTAAGATATTTTTGGGGTGTTTTTTGTTTGATCTGATATTTAAGGGAGAGGTTATTGTATCCGCTATTTTTTAGTGCTCGTTCATATTTGTTTTTGGATTGATTAAATATAACTTTGTTTGAGAAATTTTGAAAATTTTGTAGGGGATAGCGGGGTTGGTTTTACGTGGGGTTGGTTGTCACAAGGTTTATTACAGGAAATGTAGATAAGGTTTAGAACTTAAAAATCATACAATCGAAATGTTATATGAAAAAAAATTTTACTTTAATTTTCAGCTTTTTTTAGCATGTAAAAAAGAAGTTATTCATTTTTATAGGTTTTTGATATGAAAAAGTTAAAATTCGCTCACTTAAAAATTTTCTTTTATTAAACGAAAAATTATTTTATTGTGCTTTGAATTACATTTTTAAAGTTTTTTATTCTTTGAGTAACTTAATCCACAAAAATTTCTTATGAAATTCACACGCTTTTAAGTAAATTTACAGGTGTCTTGCAACTTACATAGAAAGGGTTGCTTGTCGCAAAACATATGGGGATGGTTGTCACAATTGCCTTGAGTTTTAAAAGTATAGTTTTAAAAAATTCAATTATAATACCTGAGAGTATAAAGCCTCTGCCTAAAACAGGTCCAAGGTTAGCATCAAAAAGAGGTAGGAAAAAGCGTTCATCTATGATTCTTACTAACTTTTTAAATTTTTCCAAAAAAAAATTAAAAAATTAGTCTTAAAATTATCTAAAGAAGAGTATCTATGCATCACTTATAAGAGTATCATGCATATCACTTAAGTGTATCATGCATGCCGTTGTGAATCATTTGCTAACAGCAGATCAAGAGAACAGTGGATGTTAGGCTTGCCAAAAATGGGTTCATAAAGAATGGGCTTAACCAAGGCTTACACCAATTTATATGTGAATTGTGTTCTTCATCCAACAATTTATAAAAGGACCATTTTTAAAAACACTTATATAGTCCTTAACTAAATGTGTTTATAGTGCTATATTGAAAAAAAAACATTTTTTGGTATATAGTACTTTCTTTTTTTAAGTATATCCTTTTTTTAAGATTATTTATATTTATTCTCTGTATTATATAAAAAAAGTTTATTAGTACTATTTATAAATATAATCAAAACAAGGCAACCAGCCCCATAGTTAATGACAACCATAGTAAATACCCCATAGTAAATGACAACCAGCCCCATAGTAAATGACAACCAACCCCTTGGGTGGGGTTGGTTGTCACATGGAAGAGGTCTTCGATAAATGATTTTACAGCAAAAAATATTTCACTCAATGTCATAAAAATATTGCAATAGTTACTGGAAATAGTTAATTTACTTTCATGCAAAGTTTGGCATTGATGTATATAATAATAATATGAATATATATATATATATATATATATATATATATATATAAAAT